GTAACATCTCTTACACGTATCTCAATTCCAACTAACTTGGTCATCTGATGTTCCAGAAACATTGGGAATGTAGACACACAGACAAAAGTACAAAGTGATAGGCCCTGGCCTTACAGCAGGAAAAAAAATAATGAAAATACAAATATAAAGCAGACACAGATACTTACAAAGCAGTTCAGGGGCAACTATGGCCAAAACATCTTTTTTTTTTTTTTTTTTATTGCATTTTAGGTTTTGGGGTACATGTGATGAACATGCAAGATTGTTGCATAGGTACACACTTGGCAGTGTGGTTTGCTGCCTTCCGTCCCCTCACCTGTATCTGTCATTTCTCCCCATGCTATCTCTTCCCACCTCCCCACGGCCCCGCCCCTCCCCCATTTCCCCCCAACGGACCCCAGTGTGTAGTGCTCCCCTCCCTGTGTCCATGTGTTCTCATTGTTCAACACCCACCTATGAGTGAGAATATACGGTGTTTGATTTTCTGCTCTTGTGTCAGTTTGCTGAGAATCTTAAACAATACATAGTAAAGTGTGATAATAGATATTCACTATAACAACTTTGAGTTAGTGCTCTACAGAGGTCCATTTGAAGACAGCCACAGACTAGATAGTTAAAGAAAAATTCCTAATGCATTTTAGAAAAAAACCTGGTCACAAATGTTTATAATAAAAAATTAAGAGTGCTTAAAGAAAATCTCAGCTATCCAGAGCAACTCATTCCTGCAAGTTCCCCATAGTTGGAATTTTACTATATGGAAATGGATTTTATGGTTGGCTGCACTGACGAACACAGGTCTGGAGAACAATCTGGAAGGAAATGATTAATGACTGCTTCTTTACAAGGAAGTTTAAAAATAAGTATTCATATCAGAATCAGCATTAATGCAGCAATTGCTACTACATGCAGCAAAATAACATCAACAACATCCAGGTTGTTGATGTTATTTTGGCTTAAATCCATATTCTGGGCAGGATTTAGTATCATGTAGGCAGTTGGGACCTATCAGCTACCAGAGTAAAGTTAGTAGGCCCCATTCCATCACACAGGACAAACTATGAACAAAAGAAATACCTGTTCCACCTCCTTTATACTCGCCTCTTTTGCTTTTGACTTCAAAAGCGGGGCTAGAAAGACCAGGAAGCAGAGACTAATTATGTTTATATCTGTGAAGCAAAGATTATACAAACTGCCAGCACTTCATTGTTTTTGTTTTCAGCATGGTTATCACAAAACAAAAACAAAAAGATAACTTCTACATCTGAAGCCCTATTATTTGAAAACAGACCTGAATATTTCCTCCTCTTTCAATAAAGCAGAAAGCACCCTTTGTTTTACTTATCTATAAGGTACTTATTTGCTGATAGGGGACTAGTTACTACTTCTATATGAGAGCTTGACAAAGTCTATCTAAAGAAGCTATTTCCTGAGTCGCCCTAGAAGCCTCTCACTGTTTTGACACTTGCCAAAAATCCAAGAGAGCATTTTTTTTTTAATTTTTCCACCTTCCATACCCCTCAAGGCTAAAAAGAGAAAAACATGACCACAAGCATAGTTAATGGTCCATTAGCAATCTGACCTCTCTGAGTTTCTATTTGTCTTTTGTTCCTTTTTCTTTTAAATATCCTTACTACTTATTTATTTCCTGTTTACAAAAATAACACATGGTCATTGTCACAATTCAAACAACACAAAGATATATGAAAACAAAAATTAATAATAACCTCCCCTCCTCTAAACTCTCACTCTTCTCCCAAGGAAGCCAATGTTAATAGACTGGTATGTATTCTTTTTTACTTCTTCCTAGGCTTACACAAACATTTATTACATATATATCTTTTCTGGTTTTGTCTTTTGGTTTTCAAGCAAAAATGGGATATTACATATTCTATCATGCATTTTGCCTTTTAGTCTTAAAAATATGCCATGGATGCCTTTCAAGCCTATATATAGATCCGCAGAATCTTTTTTTAGTGGCTGTGAAGTATTCTGCAAGATAAATGTCCCATAATTCATTCAATCATCACTCTGAGTCTCCCAACTCATTAACATTTAGGATAGATCTTTGTGCATATACTACTTTATGTCCTTTAAGTTTCAGTGACAGATTTTTAGAAGTGAGGTTTCTAGGTCAAGTGAAACAACTCCAAATGTTTAAAATTTTACATTTAAACAAAATTAATTTTAGGCCTTGAGAATTTCTGTTTTCTTTTTATTATGTAAAATTTTGTTATCAACCTTTCATAATACTTTACATATTTTATTCTTAAAAGCACACACATTATGTCAGAAAATACCCCTGTCATTTATGCTTACGTAGTTATAAATAAATAAATGCTTAAGTTATGACTGTGATGTCCAGTGTTAAATCACTGTGCAAATGCTTATGCCTTGGTTTATGAAAGTCGTAATTCTTTGTGGAAACCCCACCCCCACAGCCATGTGGCAGCACTAGAGTTGCAGTCCTCACATCCTGTGACTCCTTCTTAGAGAGTAACTATATAGACCAGGACCTCCATTTTTTCTCATTTCAACAGTTAACCTTAAAAAGTGTGTGGTGGGAGAGACAAATAGCAACAAACAACAAATTAATGGTCATTTTGGGTTTCTAATATCAACAAATTATATGTAACACAATGAATAATGCTCCTGTACTACACCAGAGACTATGTTCCATAAGAAATAAAACCTATAACCAACATGTTGCTATTATTATTATAGAAACCTTTCAAAAACATATTCTTCAAACATTTTTCAGTAGAATCACTGGATGAATCACACTTTACACTCCTTTTCTCTACTTCAGATTCAAGTTCTAATTGCAAACTTAAAAAAAAAAAAAAAGCCTTAAAGAAATACTTTAACCAACGAAGCTCCTTAAAATTTAGTTTCAGACTCCTTCATATATTTTAAAGACCTGAGCACCAACAGAGATTGTTAAGACACAGCAAGTTTGATACAGAAGTATGTGACATGCAATTAATCTCCATTCATACCCTGCTCTACTTGTCAGCAAACAAAGGTTCTGCTTTAGAAGGAGATCTGAAGACTTCAATTAAAAACAGTCAGCTAACAAGAAAATAATCTAAGCTAAAGGAAGGTGGCAGGTGCAGAAATGAGTTGTTTACCAAAGTGTCAGTTTTGAACAATAAAGAACTGCACATCAAAAATGCTGAAGGAGTGAATTTCATTGCAAGCCTCTGAAAATAAAAAGGAATTTTATACCAAAGCTAGACAAAAAATGGAAGTATAGTTTAACAAGCTTATAAAATAGGTTTCCTCTCTTCAAATGACAGATACCAATAAAAAGAATCACTTTATATCTTTCAATGCAAGGGCAGATTTAAACTTTTTGCCACAGTTCCTTCTCTTAGAAACCAAAGACAATTACAACTTTCCTTCACAAGCCTAATATTAAACCAACAACGGAGGGAAAGGCTGGAATGCTTCTTCTTATGACACCCAAATAATGCTCTTTTACCCTGCAAATAGTTTTCTACCCGCAAAGTTTAGATTTATTCTCATCACAAGTAAAATGGATTTTGGAAACCTCTCCTCAAAAGAAAGAGCTAGTTGACAGCTTTTACATAGAAGCAATCCAGAATGGAAACAGTGCTACAAACAGAGACCAAAAGGACTTGCCAAATATTTGATTAGGAGGCAATTTATACCTAGATAACAAGGTAATGGAGATATAAAACCAATTAAATTGAGAGAAACTGAAAAAAATAACTGCTTGCCAAAAATATGACCTGCCCAAAGCAGGCCATCTGTTAAATATGTGTCAAATATGTCAACTTAGATGCCAAAAGGCTTAATTCTGAATAGTTTCCTCCTGGGACCTTATGCAACTGCAGATTCCAGGCCTCTGTCGTCCCTGGAAGGTTAGTCACAGGAAAGCAAGTAAAAGTGACTTTCACCATGAAACCCAGCAGATGAAACTGCCCGTTAGCGACGTCTTTGCCATATCTCTTTGGAGTGTTGGCAGTTGTGTGTTGCGTGTTGGTGAGGATGGCCGGAACTCTTTTTTTTTTTTTTTTTTTTTTTTTTTTTTTTTTTTTTTTTTGAGACTGAGTTTTGCTCTTGTTACCCAGGCTGGAGTGCAATGGCGCGATCTCGGCTCACCGCAACCTCCGCCTCCTGGGTTCAGGCAATTCTCCTACCTCAGCCTCCTGAGTAGCTGGGACTACAGGCACGAGCCACCATGCCCAGCTCATTTTTTGCACCTTTAGTAGAGACGGGGTTTCACCATGTTGACCAGGATGGTCTCGATCTCTTGACCTCGTGATCCACCCGCCTCGGCCTCCCAAAGTGCTGGGATTACAGGCTTGAGCCACCGCGCCCGGCCGAAACTCTTTAAATCACCGCTTAGACACCGTCGTTGGAAGGTGAACACCCCACAACCGGAGCACTCTCAGAAAAGGAGTTAAGGGCATCCTGAGAACGAGCCTGCCTTGGGGTGGGTGAGACCCCTCAACCGTCTGCAGGGTGATAAAGGGAGGGCCGGGGTTTTCGTTCTGACAAAACTCGGGTCAACCACCGGGCCTTGGCCCATGGGGATTCCGCGAGCCCCTCGCAGCCCCCCTGAAGAGCCTCGGGGGCCTCAGAGCAGGAAGCTTTGGGGTCTTCTGTGAGAGGTGAAGAAGTCGGGGCTGGGGAAGGCGGAGGACGGGAAACCCACAGATGTAGGGGAGTCCCTCGGAGGAAGGGACGGGGGAGGACCAAGCCAGGTGGCATGGGGACCAAGAACCCGGCCTGAAGGAGTTCAGAAGCCGGGGAGGCGACATGGAGGCGAGGAGGTGCCTCGAGGAAGATGTGGGCCTCCAGGGAGTGAAAGGGGACCTGAGGTGAGAGGATGGAAAGCTGGCTCTGGGAAGCTGAGGGCTCTAGAAGCCTGGAGGTTCTAGGAGGAGGAGAGTGACGCAGCCGAACAGAAAGCCCGGCCGGCCGCGGGAGGCCTGGGGTCTCCGCTCCTGAAGGGGCCCGCGCCAAGGCGTTACCTTCCAGGAGCCAACGGATCTCCTCAGGGAGGGCGGCGGCCTGCATTGGGCTGGGCCAGAGGGCGGCGACGTGCGAGGCGGGACGGGGCGCGGGCCCTGGTCGGGAGGTGGACGGGCTGGAGGGCGACCCGGCTGCGCCGCGAGGCACCTGTACCTCAGCCGCGCTCGCCGCCAGCCGAGCGCGGCCGCGGGGCGGGGCCGTGGGTCCCGGGGCGCGTCAGGAAGTGGCGCGGGCGGGGGCCTGGGGGCTGGGGGCGGGGGGCGGCGGGCGTCCGGCACGCGGCGCGGGTGCACGTGGCGCTCACGCCGGGGCCCAGCGGTAGAAGGACGGGGAGTGCCGGAAGCGCCGCACCCTGAGACGCCGAAGGTGCGCCCCTCCAGCACCCGCCAAAACAAAAGACTTCACGAGGCTCAAAGGAACCACGGCTTTGGAGACTCCATCCTAAAGCTCCGAACAGTCGGCCTCGCGGTGGCAGACGTGAAGGACCACGGCGTGCCCGAGGGGTGCCGGGAGGCAGAATCCAAGGAAGAGATGAATCCCCGGGACCCTCAATTGCCGGTCCAGTTCGCACTTCCATCCCCAGAAAGGAGGGCAGATTGTCACTCTTAGGGAAGCCACACTGGTGGAAGTCCCAATGAACAGTCTAAGGCCACCAGCATTTGGGGGAATCGCCGCCGCAGCGCGGCAGCAAGGGACGCAGGAAGCCAAGCTGTGCCTTTCTCTCTCAGGCTGGAAAGGCCCTGAGGAAAGGAAGGGGTAACTCAGGGAGAAAGCCGAGGGCGAGGAGAACAGAACCCTTTCCCTCCAAGAGCTGAGGAAGGGAGGAAAGCGAAGGACAAAATCACAGGGCCTCACTGAAGGTGCAGTGGGTGTCAGAGTCCTGGTTGTGACATGGTACTGTAATACTGCCAGATGTTACCCTTGGAGGAAACTGGCTGAAAGTACACAGAGTTCCTCTATTATTTCTTAAACTCTCTTGTGAATCAACAATTGTCTCAAAATAAAGAGGTTTTTTAAGATAAATAGGTCAACTGCCATGAAACAGGTCAACTGCCATGAAAAAAGTACAAAGTGCTATGCTTGATAAAATAAGGGAGTTGAATACAAGAAAAGGAGGGAAGACACCAGGCATTGTGGCTCACACCTGTAATCACAGCACTTTGGGAGGCTGAGGCAGCAGGATCGCTTGAGCCCAGGAGTCTGAGGTTACAGCGAACTGTGATCACCCCAGTGTACTCCAGCCTGGGCAACAGAGCAAGACCCTGTCACTTAAAAAAGAAAAAAAAAAAAAAAAAAAAGGAAGTGCCAGTGTACATGTGAGTGTTTAAAGGTGCATGTGGTGTTTGAGATGGGCTCTGAATAACACACCAGACTTGGAAGGGACAGGGAGACTTTCCAGGTGGAAGGAAAAGAGTAAAGAAAGATGAAAGAGTCCTCACCAGCTTGAGGAATAGTAGCCCTCTTTTATTGGATGTTGAGGGAAGACTATGGTTGTCAAGACAAACTGCAGCTCTACGCAAAGGGACTTGAAAGTCAGAATAGGAATTTTGAACTTAATTGAGTTGGCACAGGGGAGCCACTGACAATTTTTGAGATGGCGAGTGACCTAACCAGAGCTCCTGTATGGTATGTGGCCTCACACATCTCCACCTCTACCATTTTCCTTTTTTGTAAAAAAAATGGTGTTTCTATTCTCAGACTCAACCTACAGAATATGTAGAAAAGATTAGGAGTGGTAAGAAAAAACACACGGGGAGGTGGGTAAAATGGTTTTTACAATGGCCTTAAGGGGAATAAGGATAGACTCAACCTAGGAGATGGGGCAAGAGCAGTAAGAAGAAATTGTTGAGAAGGACGAGTGGTAGAACTGCCTGCCTCCTTGTATAGTTTCCTGGCCAGAGATACAGCCTCAAGGATGGGGGTGTGATCCTTTGAGGGGTACAGTGTATTCTGCCATCTGAAAAGGAATGGTTTGTTGGTTTCAGGGTCACATGACCCACCTACAAGCTGCAGTAAATTGGGGAGAGGGGACAGAGGCTGTCATGTCTCCCTGGGGAATCTGGCTCCTGCTCCTCCTCCTTCCTGCCCTGAGAAAGCACAGTAATGGGCAGACTCCCTCTTTCAGGCTTGGGGTCAAGCACCAGTACTCCCAGGGCATTTTTACCAACCTCATTACTTCACCTATAAAATTGTAGCTGCTCTAGAATCATTTTGAAGTATTTATGACATGTGTTAAAAAGCAAGGAAGGTTGTAGGGGAACTGACTGTGCTATCATCTCAATTTTTTCTTTGGTAAATCTAAACTGTTACAAAAAAATATAGCAAGGGAAACAAAGTCTCTCCCATATGTCAACCCAAACTTTGCTTTGCTTTCCCTCTTGGCAACATAAGGAAATTTTATAACCTCCCTCTTCTTCAAGGATATGGTGTCACATACTAATACAGGCTACCAGTAAATGAATTGTTTGATAAAGAGCAACAAACTCAGGTAATTGCACTTCTTTGCAGGCTTCACTGCCTGTCATAGCTTACTTAAACAGAGGAAAACAGCAAAAGCTCACAGTGTAGGTATTCTACATACATCCTTCCTTACAAGAATCTCTGGGTTTTAGAGAGAACAGGAGTAGAGGGAGGTACAGAGTCAGGTAGTATATAGTGGGCGACTGGCAGATTCCAATACGGTATTGTCATGTTGCATCAAGGTTCCTCATTGCAGACAGAAATCTGCCTCCACACATGAACGCAGCCCTTCCTTAATCATCTGAGGACCCTGGTTCAGCAGTTCAGCCTCACTCCTAATGACATTCTGTTAAATGGACAAATTCCTTTGAAGCCTTGTCCTTCTTTGAAATCCAATTTCGCAGGAAGCCAAATCTGATTGGAGGTAGCCATGGAAACCACACCGAGGAGTCTTAGAGGAGGTGAAAAGAGGCAAGGCAAAACGTGATAGTCACAAGTCCTTTACTGCTCTGTCAGAAATATCAAAGAGATCTGGAGAGGTTGGCAGCAGCCAAGTCCCTGCCTGGGTCCTGTTCTGTGTGGCTGGGTACCATGTGGCTGTCATGGAAGAAAGCAGCCAGCTGTCTCTGCACACTGCCAGGAGGATGGAACAGAATACACAAATCTCAGTTCTGTCTGCCTCCCTTTTCTCCCCCTCCCCCAAGACCCAATTCCAGCAAGATCTTAGAATCCCCTTAGCTGCCCGCCCCTTAAAGACAAACAACAAAAGAATGACAACGTTAAAATACAAGGCCCTCACAGATAAGAGGTCCTTTGGAGCAGAGGCCATGAAATTAATCTGGAATTCCTTGTAATTAGATAAGATAAGGGTATCTAAAGAGATGCAGAACAGCCAGGAATGGAGTCCAGCAGCACAACATGCAGAAAATATACCACCTTGTCCACTGGGACCCTTCACAAACTGTCAGCAGACGGAAGACACGGAAAATAGGGCCTGTGTTGGCCTCTGGGCTGCTTGGGAATGCCGTCTACATGTTCTCATGCCAGGTGGGCACTCACTAAATAGGCATCTATGGGATGTCCAGAGGGCCCAATCAGGAAGAAACAAAAGCATCTGGCACCTAGTATGGCATAGACTGGGAACAACTGCAAGCAAAAGCAGGAGCTGGCTGGCATTGCTCTGTCCTGGCAGAAATGGGTCTGGAGAGGAAACTGCAGAGGGCAGGCTCTGAGGCTTTATTCCGAGCTGGTTATTGATCCCTAAATGCTGGGTCACGACATGTGGCGGAGCTGACGTCTGCCCTGTGGATGTGCAGCCACTGCCTCTCAGCCTCTCGGTCCCAACCCCATCAACTGGGTTTATTGACTCTTTTATTGACAATGCTGGGGCCTAATGAGGACAAGAGCTGCGCACTTCATTAAGAGATATGGAAGGAGAGATGATGCATCCTGTCTATGCCAAGAATCAGGCTCACTGTATGTTTGGCAAGGCCCCAGAAACCAAGCATCATGCCACCTTGGAGGCAGAAGAGATGGACAAAAGATGCTAACTTGGGCACATTATTTCAGTGGCCTAAAAATGAAGAGTTTCCACGGCTTGTGAGAAGCCTTGTTCTTATTAATTAGCTAACCCTTCAACTTAGGAGGGTTCTGTTATACACATACTCACATACTCCTTTTTTTTGAGAGAGCTCACTCTGTTGCCAGGCGCCAGGCTGGAGTGCAGTGGCACAATCTCTGCTCACTGCAACCTCTGCCTCCCATGTTCAAGCAATTCTCCTGCCTCAGCCTCCCGAGTAGCTGGGACTACTGGTGCACGCCACCACGCCCAGCTAATTCTTGTATTTTTTTTAGTAGAGACAGAGTTTCACCATGCTGGCCAGGATGGTCTCGATCTCTTGACCTCGTGATCCGCCCGCTTCGGCCTTCCAAAGTGCTGGGATTACAGGTGTGAGCTACTGTGCCTGGCCATAAATACACTTCTAATGGTCTCTCCTTCCAGCCCACACTCCTAGATTCTCTGCCCTAATACATACAACAAAATAAGCAGCTTCTCATATCGTATCAGGAAACAATCCCATAAGCAGTTTCTCAATGAGGCACAGGCTTGGAACAGGACGAGGGACTGTATAAAAACTCAAAAGAAGTAGACTGAGTGTGTTGCCTCATGCTTGTAATCCCAGCACTTTGGGATGCTGAGGCGGGCTGATCATGAGGTCATGAGTTCGAGACCAGCCCGACCACATGATGAAACCCCGTCTCTACTAAACATACAAAAATTAGTTGGGTGCCGTAGCACACGCCAGTAATCCCAGCTATGCAGAAAGCTGAGGCAGGAGACTCATTTGAATCCAAGAGGCGGAGGTTGCAGTGAACCGAGATGGCACCACTGCACTCCAGCCTGGGAGACAGAGCAAGACTCCATCTCAAAAAAAGAAACAAAAAAACCTTGAAAGAATCTTCAAGGGGAGCAAATTCAAGATGAGGAACAGACTCAACACTATGCCCAGGGTCCCCCAGCTCACCAGGAGCTGTGCATTAGAATCTAGTACAAAGCTCTTGTAGAACTGAAAAATACCTAAGATAGTTACAGCCTAGGGATCACTAAGCCACTCTACGAAGTAATCACTGTTGGTCCTCTTCCATCTAAATAGTAATGTTTCATTCCCAGTACTTTGGGAGGCTGAGGCAGGGGGATCACTTGAGGCAGGGAGTTGGA